TCCCCGGTTTTGGTGGGGTTGTTGTTGCTCAGTCGTCAGATTTCTATGTTATTTTTTTTGTGGGATTATTTGTTTTTCCTTCATTTTTCTTTCTTTGTCATGACTGGTGAGTTTTAAATGTTCTCCCTTTCTTTTAATAATAAGAAAATGCGTACCTCAAGACCTTATACAATAACATTGTTATTATATCTCACATCGATAAATATAAGTAGCAATAAGATTTCAAGTCGATTCTTCCACTATATGTTATTCAAAAAAAGCATTTGTGACCTTCTCGACTTTCTATATGTGGAAGGATGAAACCTCATAAACACAAGAAAATTCTGATGCTCTGAGTTATTTGAAAAATAGATCTTGATATAGATGACGAGATATAATAACTGTTTGAATTATTTAGTTGATGAGAAACTTATAAATATGCTTCTCTTGTCGCATCTTGTGGCTTTTATATTTCACAATTGTATGATTTGTTACAATATGTTCTTGTGAAGCTGGTAAAAGGTGAAGGGTAAATTTCATAAACGCCAAAGTAACTTTTACAAGGTAACAGATACCGTATAGACTTTTGAATATATTCAACCAAATCGTTGGCAGTCTCTATATAAAATGTTTCTCGTAAAAAAAATTTAGACACTATTTCCCACCGTATCTTTTATTGTAATGTATTAAATAGAACTGGACAGGAGCATTGAACAAGGATATAATTTCTTAAAACTTTCAACAACAAAGGTTACACGCGTGATGTAGTACTACAGTACAGTACATGACGAGTGCTACTTGTGGAGCAGGATCTTCTTACCCTTCCGGACCGCCGGAGATCGTCCCCAGATTTATGGTGGGGTTCCTGTTGCTTAATAATTAGTTTTCTATATTGTGTTTTGTATACTGTTGTTTGTGTTTTGTATACCGTTGTTTGTGTTTTGTATACCGTTGTTTGTGTTTTGTATACCGTTGTTTGTGTTTTGTATACTGTTGTTTGTGTTTTCGTCGTTTTTCGTATTTTGCCATTGCATTGTCCCCGTCGACTTATGACTATGATATGATGATGTTAAATACTTACTTATTAATTACTAATACTGCCGGTACCGTCGACTTATGACTATGATATGATGATGTTAAATACTTACTTATTAATTACTAATACTACCGGTACCGTCGACTTATGACTATGATATGATGATGTTAAATACTTACTTATTAATTACTAATACTGCCGGTACCGTCGACTTATGACTATGGTATGATAATGTTAAATACTTACTTATTAATTACTAATACTGCCGGTACCGTCGACTCATGACTGATAGTATGATGATGTTAAATATTTACTTATTAATTACTAATACTGCCGGTTTCAATTAAAGTATATTATGAGATTTCGTAAAACATGCATGTTAGAAGTGTTGTATCGTTTTGTTCTGTAAACATACATGTTAGGAGTGTTGTATCGCTTTGTTCTGTAAACATGCATGTTAGAAGTGTTGTATAACTTTGTTATGTAAATATGCATGTTAGAAGTGTTGTATCGCTTTGTTCTTTAAACATGCATGCTAGAAGTGTTGTATAACTTTGTTCTGTAAATATGCATGTTAGAAGTGTTGTATCGCTTTGTTCTGAAAACATGCATGCTAGAAGTGTTGTATAACTTTGTTCTGTAAATATGCATGTTAGAAGTGTTGTATCGCTTTGTTCTGTAAACATGCATGCTAGAAGTGTTGTATAACTTTGTTCTGTAAATATGCATGTTAGAAGTGTTGTATCGCTTTGTTCTTTAAACATGCATGCTAGAAGTGTTGTATAACTTTGTTCTGTAAATATGCATGTTAGAAGTGTTGTATCGCTTTGTTCTGAAAACATGCATGCTAGAAGTGTTGTATAACTTTGTTCTGTAAATATGCATGTTAGAAGTGTTGTATCGCTTTGTTCTGTAAACATGCATGCTAGAAGTGTTGTATAACTTTGTTCTGTAAATATGCATGTTAGAAGTGTTGTATCACTTTGTTCTGTAAACATGCATGCTAGAAGTGTTGTATAACTTTGTTCTGTAAATATGCATGTTAGAAGTGTTGTATCGTTCTGTTCTGTAAACATACATGTTAGAAATGTTGTATCACTTTGTTCTGTAAACATGCATGCTAGAAGTGTTGTATAATTTTGTTCTGTAAATATGCATGTTAGAAGTGTTGTATCGCTTTGTTCTGTAAACATGCATTTTAGAAGTGTTGTATAACTTTGTTCTGTAAATATGCATGTTAGAAGTGTTGTATCACTTTGTTCTGTAAACATGCATGCTAGAAGTGTTGTATAACTTTGTTCTGTAAATATGCATGTTAGAAGTGCTGTATCACTCTGTTCTGTAAACATACATGTTAGAAGTGTTGTATCACTTTGTTCTGTAAACATGCATGTTAGAAGTGTTGTATAACTTTGTTCTGTAAATATGCATGTTAGAAGTGTTGTATCACTTTGTTCTGTAAACATGCATTTTAGAAGTGTTGTATCACTTTGTTCTGTAAACATGCATGTTAGAAGTGTTGTATCACTTTGTTCTGTAAATATGCATGCTAGAAGTGTTGTATAACTTTGTTCTGTAAATATGCATGTTAGAAGTGTTGTATAACTTTGTTCTGTAAATATGCATGTTAGAAGTGTTGTATCACTTTGTTCTGTAAACATGCATGCTAGAAGTGTTGTATAACTTTGTTCTGTAAATATGTATGTTAGAAGTGTTGTATCGCTTTGTTCTGTAAACATGCATGTTAGAAGTGTTGTATCACTCTGTTCTGTAAACATGCATGTTAGAAGTGTTGTATCACTTTGTTCTGTAAATATGCATGTTAGAAGTGTTGTATAACTTTGTTCTGTAAACATGCATGTTAGAAGTGTTGTATCACTTTGATCTGTAAATATGCATGTTAGAAGTGTTGTATAACTTTGTTCTGTAAATATGCATGTTAGAAGTGTTGTATCGCTTTGTTCTGTAAACATGCATGCTAGAAGTGTTGTATAACTTTGTTCTGTAAACATGCATGTTAGAAGTGTTGTATCACTTTGTTCTGTAAATATGCATGTTAGAAGTGTTGTATAACTTTGTTCTGTAAACATGCATGTTAGAAGTGTTGTATCGTTTTGTTCTGTAAACATGCATGCTAGAAGTGTTGCATAACTTTGTTCTATAAATATGCATGTTAGAAGTGTTGTATCACTTTGTTCTGTAAATATGCATGTTAGAAGTGTTGCATAACTTTGTTCTGTAAATATGCATGTTAGAAGTGTTGTATAACTTTGTTCTGTAGTATCCAACCAACAGCTGTGGCTACCATAGCTAGGTTCCTGAATTAGCGAACACCTTCTGACCCGCCTTGTTTGGGTTAATGTCATCGTGTTGGTAGCTGGACTGTGTCCAGTTATAATAAAATATGTTCAAGTTGGCGGCAGATTTTGCTTCCGATCGGCCAGTTTCTATCAAAAATTAATAATTCATCATTCGAACTATTTAAAACACTGTGACATACAAGCCATTTCCATTTTTCAAAATAATTTTCAAAACCATGTTCAGTTTTGTAGATACGATAATTAATTGTCAGTTTGTTTTCGACTGATGAGTTTGAATATCCCTTTGGTATCTTTCGCCACTTTTTTTGCATTTGTTGTTTTTAGCAGTTAAAAATAAATAGGTTTGGTCAAAGCTATCAATATGGACTAAAATTTATAGAAGCTGTACCTATCATTTTCATCAAAAACATTATTATCTTCTTCGTCTTCTTCCTCTTCTGCTCTTGGAATCCATCAAACGTAGAACTCTATGAACTTTATATACTACCATTAACAATCTGATGCATTAAAAAATATCCATTCCTATTACCATTGTCAAGGTTATCGTTTTACTACTTTTTTTTTCTTGCAGAGCTGTTATCATATATTTTTACCATTTAGTAAACTGTCGGGACAAAATTGCAGAGAAAACTAAAACATATTGTAGTTTTTGGAAAATAAATAATGTTTAATGAATTAATTATAGGATGAGGATTTAACCTATCGGCTACCGTTATCCTTTAGAACTATATCGTAATGTTGCAGTCGTTTTAGACTTTATTTAAACGACAGAAATATCGTATCAAATATGATGCTGTGGAAGAATCTATATTAAACACATGTCTACTTACATAAATCCCCCTTTGTAGATCTAGACCATATGTCTTTAAAGTTAAACACATTGTTTGCCTTTGATTATACGTGTATTATTTTATGGAGGAGTCCGATGGTGGTGTTGTATTGTTTAATAGTTTTATGGAGGAGTCCGATGGTGGCGTTGTACTGTTTAATAGTTTTATGGAGGAGTCCGATGGTGGCGTTGTACTGTTTAATAGTTTTATGGAGGAGTCCAATAGTGGCGCTGTACTGTTTAATAGTTTTATGGAGGAATCCGATGGTGGCGTTGTACTGTTTAATAGTTTTTCAGAGGAGTCCGATGGTGGCGTTGTACTGTTTTATAGTTTTATGGAGGAGTTCGATGGTGGCGTTGTACTGTTTACTATTTTTATGGAGGAATCCGATGGTGGCGTTGTACTGTTTACTATTTTTATGGAGGAGTCCGATATTGGCGTTGTACTGTTTAATAGTTTTATGGAGGAGTCCAATAGTGGCGCTGTACTGTTTAATAGTTTTGGTGGTGCCTGTTATAATTTATATGTATATGTATATGAACAGTGGGTAATTTACATCGTTATTCAGAAACTAAACCACAAGAACTTATGTAGGTCCAGTAATATAACAGCAGGAAAAAATACAATAAAGATAAGGTCATTTGGGGTCGATGATATTCCCCCGATTTCGTGTAGATTTTGTGGTTTTCGAAATATAATGAAAAACATTGAACTAAAAACAAATGCAGCCATTCAACGTACAAAAGTGTTTCCAATGATAGTTGAATGCCTCATTTCCAATAAGTTTAAAATTAATGAAAATCATTAAGATTATTTTACAAAAAAAAACACATCCACTTTCCTATGATTGTTTTATTCACAATGGCAAAGAAAGAAATGTAGAAAAATTGAATAACATTACATAAGTATAAATTACAATCATTTCATAATAGTGAATCATCATCAGACAAAATAAAAGATACATCTAGTGATTTTGCAATGGGAATGTTTGAGCACATATTCATCTGGTTCTTGCTAAAAATTGCAAACATCTATGTGAACCCTGATATTGTATCCAAGAATTGTTTCAACATGATAATTTTTTATGATATTTATGCTTTGTTCCTGTTAAATTTTTCAAACACTTCTAATGTTCTATTTCTTCAACTGACAAAGCACACATTTGTATAACATTGTAAGCGTCTATCCTTGTCCTGAATTAGGTTCAGTTAACCAAATAATTACATTCACATAGAAGTAATATGACGTTTATCAGGGAAAAGTTCAGATTTTGGCAATTAAACCAGAAAAAGACAAGATAGTACAGCGATTCATATTGCCATACAAAAGCATTTATAAGGTATCAGTTTGATGACAGAAAAATAGACGCAATTAAGATTTCATTCTTTCCAAATGCATAACTACAAAACATCTTCTGAAAGTGTTACTGAATCTGGAAATTTTGGGATAATGACACTTATCTGTTTTATCAAAACTAGTTGCTCTTTTTTACAACAAGAGAAAATATAAAAGATTTATTTATTACTTTTATGTAAATCAGGTGTAAGCGTTTCATATGTTCGGGACTGACGCCCCTCAGAAATGAGAAGCCTACATCTAATACTTATTAAATAACGATTACATGATCCAATATTTCTAAATATCCAATACAAAAAATATACAATTAATTAATTTGCACATTTCCTTGGTGAATATTTTTAAAGTTTCCACATAAATAAACCATGACATACATTAACGTTTGTAGGTTGATATTGTATAAGCCTGGTGAGTTTCACCAACATATATATATGAGCTACTTATATCAGCTTGTTGTGTCGTGTTCAGATGTTTACGTCTATCTATCCATCGAAAACTTTATAATGACCGATATCCAGTACACATAATCTTATTATTTTTCTTTACATTTCCTTAAAAACACAACTTAAGTGAGACGTTTACTGAAGTAAAATGTTTGTTCTAATTTTTATACCAGGATCAAACTATGTTAGTTTTACACTCTGTGTGAAAAAAAATGTAGCGGTATTACAACATAAATTATAGAAATTATGTCATTTTAACTTTTCATTCATTGACATTCTCGTTTTTAAAGGTTCAAAGATGATATGTAATCTTCACGACGAAGTATTCCTTTCTATTTCTTAGGTTAGTTTATGTCCAAAACCTGGATTATAAGAAGTTAGTTGGATGGTTAATGGTCTGATAGTTAATTAACATGGTTTAATGAACATGAATGTCATAATGTAACGCTGAGTGGATACAAATAAATAATCAGGAGTTTCTGTGTGATCTATTGAACAATGAAGACAAAATATTCAATAATAACAAAATATTAAAAACCTTGGAAAATTGCGATATGAACATTGCATCGTTCTGTTACTGGTACAGCATTTACAAATTGCATCGTTTTGTAAGGTACCACAAAAATACATACTCAAAAACTTGTCATTTATCTCAGTTTGATCGAAACTGGGTAAACTGAATTAAAAATTAAAAAAAGTGTTTCAATATAAATGAAACTTTTTGCCGTCGAAATAAGATTTTTTATAATAATAGTTGATACCCCAATGCGCTGTTCCGGAGGAACTAATCGAATGAAATTAGAAAGCTTTTTAAGCATTTTTAGCAAGTATGTAGTGACTACTATCTTTATTTCCAAGATCGATTCAAAATTAACTGAATGTTACTTTCCCTGTTATGAGGAAAGATATTATCACGAAGCAACATAAAACATAAAATATGAAGTGCAATTTACATGAATAATAATATGAACATGATAATTATATGAAGATATGACGATTTAAACACACCACAAATAACTTTAACAAACAATGAAAACGCTATGGGAACCCGTATTACCAAAACATGAAGTTTTATCTTCATTTGAACACATATTCCCGAAATTCATTTACAGAAACAATTGACTGCCAATGAATAAAATCGAAATCACATCAATCATTATAATATCAGATATTTTATCAGACTGAAAATTCATAAAACTAGTAAATATATCAGTCATTTGTTGCTTTCCCGATTCGACGTTTAGATGTCCTGTCACTATATATAATTCATTCGACGTTTAGATGTCCTCTCACTATATATAATTCAAAGCTTTGATGACCGTGTTATGCGAATCTATTTCATCGAACTAGAAATAAAGGATACCACAGATACAGTTCAATCTGTTGACAGTGAAGGTCAGTTGAGAACAAAATACATGATTTCAGTTTTCCTATTGTAAACTTTCCATTTCTATTTAACAACTTTCCAGTAGCGCCTGCATATGGAGTATATGTCTTTCAATCAATACGATATTCCAAAGCTTGTGTCACAATTTCCTTTGTGGGTGGTTTCGCTAACAAGGAAGATATTGAACCAAGCATTCCTAGTGGTAAAGTTCAAGTCATCCCTTCGAAACTTTTACGGACGCCATCATGGTTTGGTTGACCACTTTTGAGTATCTTATGCAAAGATGTACACGGATTGCCGTAGCCACAATGCCGTCCTCTCCCCCGGACTGTGACATCACATAACGATACTTATTACCAATGTGTAGTTGCAATGAGCAATGAACCGTGAAGACAGTTCTACTTACACTTTCGGAACACCTGAGATCACCCCGGTTTTTTTTAGTGGGGTTGGAGTTTCCCAGTCTTGAGTTCGCCATGTAATGATTTGTATATTGTTTTTATTTGTTTTTCGATTTCGGCATGATACTTTCGGTTTTTCTTCGACATCTGATTTTTGATTGTCATTGTGATGTCTTCTTCCTCTTGGTTACTTTGTGTTAATACTAAGATTGTCATAATAACTTTATAAAGAGACATTTAATGTACAGTAGAAGTCTCTATGGTTTTTTATTATTACAACAAGAAACATACTAGTTTATGGGGCTTTGGGGTTGAGCGGATCTGGATACCATAAACATTAGGGCTAGGTTGATGTGAATACCATAAACTTTAATGCTAGTAACCCATTTCTATAAACTTTTCTTTTTAACAAGTGAGCTGTCATTGAATTTACATTTCTTATCTTTTAAATTATAAATTCTAAACAAGACGTTTACAACATATCTGAAAGTGTAATGATATGTTATATGTTAATAAATTTGAATAAAAGTCATCATAGATTTCCGATGGATATAATCAGTTTAATTAAATCATTTTGAATCAGCTTGACATGTTATATCAGCTGAGACTATAACGTGTTCTTAATCACAACATTACACCGTCAAATAATCATATCAAAAATTCATTAAAGAATACTTTCATTTCCTTTGAGGATAAAAATACAACTCATTTCCATGCGACATAAAAATAGCAGCATAACATTATAACCTATCATTTCTAATAACTTTTATCTAAAAATAAAACTACTGTTACACGCTATATTAGAATTCTAAATAATGTGAATTTATAAAACCGGCAATATATTAAATAAATAAATGCCGTTAAATGAACGGAACAATTGTTTCTCCTTTTATGATTTTTACCTCATGTTGAGTTTTTGGCGTCATTACAGTTACGCTTATAAAATACATGTAGTTACTCCTATAAAACGGACTCGGCTGAATGACGTCATTGCGACTTCATTGATTGGATGGATATTTCTTCGAGAATTCTCGCTGTTTACGTTTTTGTAATTTTCCAAAATATTTGAATGATTATATGAAGATATTTACATACACAACTGTTTTACAATCACGTGACAGGATGAGCATTTACATCTGATCGGAGACTCTAGTTGAAAGGATTTGGTTTTTATCGAACGTACAAAGAGACACAAATACATATATTCACATTAACTACATTAATTTAAGTTTATATTTATATCGAGTACTTATTACGAGGAACGGTTGGACATTGTCATTGTTTTTCAGTCTTCTGTTCCTTCTCCTACTAGTAGTTCTCTTTTTTGGGGTTTTGTTCTTCCCTTTATGCCGTCGTTTTCGATGTCGTTTTCGTTGTAGGACGAGTTTGACCATTTTGCCACATTTCTTACAAGATACTTTTAATTTCAGTACGTGTTCATGGTTGTCTATCATTGATTGTATGAGAGTAACCGGCAGTGCTATTTTTTGCCAACGTGTCTTTTTCACTCGAGTTCGTATACTAGTTAGATATTGATTTGTATTGTTTGTATCGTGAATTTGAGACACACGTAGCCATATTTTCTTGCCTCTGGTCCGACCTTGTTTTCGTTGTTTGACTAATATCCAGAGGTGTGCTTTGATAGCCTCCAGAGGACCTGGGTTATTCCTCACGTCTATTGTAAATAGTAGAATATTTTTCCCAGTTGTATTATCTATAAAGTAGAGAAAATCCATTTACATGTTAACTATCAAACATTTTCACTGACATATATAGCCCAATAACTATTTTATATTTTAAATTTAGACTGAAAATTTTGTGCGTGAATAAGCATGGCGCTGTAACAATTTTGTGCAAAGTAATAAACGTGTTATATGACTTTTTGAATTAATATGTTTACAAGTTGTAAATTCATGCCATATATGAAATGGAACTATTAATAATTCTAAACTATAATCAAATTTTTCAACACTTGTTTATATCAACGTTGATTAACTACTTTTTGATTCATACATCTTTGTACTAGTATATAACATTCGTCCGATGTAAAACGAACAGTGTTTGCTATTGTTATATAAGCGTTTGTCTGGAACCTATTTCAAAAATATATTTCCCCTTGAACCACAGCAATAATCAAAACCGTCCTCCCCTATCCTCTCAAAAGAAACAAATTGGCCAACGTTAATATTATCTCTCAATTTTATCTGTTTAAAAGATTTGTAATAATTCTTTACAAATCACTTATGAGTTTCGGTTGACATATTTTTGATCTCAATTAACATATGTTGACCTCGTTTAACATATTTTGTTTTACCTCGGTCAAATACTAAAGACCTTATCATGGTAATTTTCATGAACATATATAATGTGCTGATCACTTTCAAGAAGACAAATGATATTTGGCATATAATACAGGAGAAGTATTCCTCAAGAAGACAATGATATTTGGCATATAATACAGGAGAAGTATTCCTCAAGAAGATAATGATATCTGGCATATAATACAGGAGAAGTATTCCTCAAGAAGACAATGATATTTGCAATATAATACAGGAGAAGTATTCCTCAAGAAGACAATGATATCTGGCGTTTAATACAGGAGAAGTATTCCTCAAGAAGACAATGACATCTGGCATATAATACTGGAGAAGTATTCCACAAGAAGACAATGATATTTAGCATATAATACAGAAGAAGTACTCCTCAAGAAGACAATGATATCTGGCATATAATACATGATAAGTATTCCTCAAGAAGTCAATGATATTTGGCATATAATACAGGAGAAGTATTCCTCAAGAAGTCAATGATATTTGGCATATAATACAGGAGAAGTAACAAAACGACAAAATGAATGATATTTGGCATATAATACAGAAGTATTCGTCAAAAAGACAATGGTACGTGGCATATAATACAGGAAAAGTATTCCTCAAGAAGACAATGATATCTGGCATATAATACATGAGAAGTATTCCTCAAGAAGTCAATGATATTTGGCATATAATACAGGAGAAGTATTCCTCAAGAAGTCAATGATATTTGGCATATAATACAGGAGAAGTATTCCTCAAGAAGTCAATGATATTTGGCATATAATACAGGAGAAGTATTCCTCAAGAAGTCAATTATATTTGGCATATAATACAGGAGAAGTATTCCTCAAGAAGATAATGATATCTGGCATATAATACAGGAGAAGTATTCCTCAAGAAGACAATGATATTTGCAATATAATACAGGAGAAGTATTCCTCAAGAAGACAATGATATCTGGCGTTTAATACAGGAGAAGTATTCCTCAAGAAGACAATGACATCTGGCATATAATACTGGAGAAGTATTCCACAAGAAGACAATGATATTTAGCATATAATACAGGAGAAGTATTCCTCAAGAAGTCAATGATATTTGGCATATAATACAGGAGAAGTATTCCTCAAGAAGACAATGATATTTGGCATATAATACAGGAGAAGTATTCCTCAAGAAGATAATGATATCTGGCATATAATACAGGAGAAGTATTCCTCAAGAAGACAATGATATTTGCAATATAATACAGGAGAAGTATTCCTCAAGAAGACAATGATATCTGGCGTTTAATACAGGAGAAGTATTCCTCAAGAAGACAATGACATCTGGCATATAATACTGGAGAAGTATTCCACAAGAAGACAATGATATTTAGCATATAATACAGAAGAAGTACTCCTCAAGAAGACAATGATATCTGGCATATAATACATGATAAGTATTCCTCAAGAAGTCAATGATATTTGGCATATAATACAGGAGAAGTATTCCTCAAGAAGTCAATGATATTTGGCATATAATACAGGAGAAGTAACAAGACGACAAAATGAATGATATTTGGCATATAATACAGAAGTATTCGTCAAAAAGACAATGGTACGTGGCATATAATACAGGAGAAGTATTCCTCAAGAAGACAATGATATCTGGCATATAATACATGAGAAGTATTCCTCAAGAAGTCAATGATATTTGGCATATAATACAGGAGAAGTATTCCTCAAGAAGTCAATGATATTTGGCATATAATACAGGAGAAGTATTCCTCAAGAAGTCAATGATATTTGGCATATAATACAGGAGAAGTATTCCTCAAGAAGTCAATTATATTTGGCATATAATACAGGAGAAGTAACAAGACGACAAAATGAATGATATTTGGCATATAATACAGAAGTATTCGTCAAAAAGACAATGGTATGTGGCTTATAATACAGGAGAAGTATTCCTCAAGAAGACAATGATATTTGGCATATAATACAGGAGAAGTATTCCTCAAGAAGACAATGGTATGTGGCATATAATACAGGAGAAGTATTCGTCAAAAAGACAATGGTATGTGGCATATAATACAGGAGAAGTATTCCTCAAGAAGACAATGATATTTGGCATATAATACAGAAGTATTCGTCAAAAAGACAATGGTATGTGGCATATAATACAGGAGAAGTATTCCTCAAGAAGACAATGATACTTAGCATATAATACAGGAGAAGTAATAAGAAGACAATGATATTTGGCATATAATACAGGAGAAGTATTCCTCAAGAAGACAATGATATTTGGCATATAATACAGAAGTATTCGTCAAAAAGACAATGGTATGTGGCATATAATACAGGAGAAGTATTCCTCAAGAAGACAATGATACTTAGCATATAATACAGGAGAAGTAATAAGAAGACAATGATATTTGGCATATAATACAGGAGAAGTATTCCTCAAGAAGTCAATGATATTTGGCATATAATACAGGAGAAGTATTCCTCAAGAAGTCAATTATATTTGGCATATAATACAGGAGAAGTAACAAGACGACAAAATGAATGATATTTGGCATATCATACAGAAGTATTCGTCAAAAAGACAATGGTATGTGGCTTATAATACAGGAGAAGTATTCCTCAAGAAGACAATGATATTTGGCATATAATACAGGAGAAGTATTCCTCAAGAAGACAATGGTATGTGGCATATAATACAGGAGAAGTATTCGTCAAAAAGACAATGGTATGTGGCATATAATACAGGAGAAGTATTCCTCAAGAAGACAATGATATTTGGCATATAATACAGAAGTATTCGTCAAAAAGACAATGGTATGTGGCATATAATACAGGAGAAGTATTCCTCAAGAATACAATGATACTTAGCATATAATACAGGAGAAGTAATAAGAAGACAATGATATTTGGCATATAATACAGGAGAAGTATTCCTCAAGAAGTCAATGATATTTGGCATATAATACAGGAGAAGTATTCCTCAAGAAGTCAATGATATTTGGCATATAATACAGGAGAAGTATTCCTCAAGAAGTCAATGATATTTGGCATATAATACAGGAGAAGTATTCCTCAAGAAGTCAATTATATTTGGCATATAATACAGGAGAAGTAACAAGACGACAAAATGAATGATATTTGGCATATCATACAGAAGTATTCGTCAAAAAGACAATGGTATGTGGCTTATAATACAGGAGAAGTATTCCTCAAGAAGACAATGATATTTGGCATATAATACAGGAGAAGTATTCCTCAAGAAGACAATGGTATGTGGCATATAATACAGGAGAAGTATTCGTCAAAAAGACAATGGTATGTGGCATATAATACAGGAGAAGTATTCCTCAAGAAGACAATGATATTTGGCATATAATACAGGAGAAGTATTCCTCAAGAAGACAATGATACTTAGCATATAATACAGGAGAAGTAATAAGAAGACAATGATATTTGGCATATAATACAGGAGAAGTATTCCTCAAGAAGACAATGGTATGTGGCATATAATACAGGAGAAGTATTCGTCAAAAAGACAATGGTATGTGGCATATAATACAGGAGAAGTATTCCTCAAGAAGACAATGATATTTGGCATATAATACAGGAGAAGTATTCCTCAAGAAGACAATGATACTTAGCATATAATACAGGAGAAGTAATAAGAAGACAATGATATTTGGCATATAATACAGGAGAAGTAACATATCATACACAAATTAAAGATACATGTATTTATTCCTATTCACAAATTATAACAGTAAATGAAAAAAGGCAACCATATTTTAGGGGCAAAACGAAATCATTGTGTCCTTTGTCGTTTTCCCGAACCTTTAACTTAACTAAAGATGACAAATATTGAAATTTTGAAGGGGTTACACAAACTATTATATCTCTAGGAAAATCTTAACAAAAACAGAAATTTGTTTAGAAGTAAAAGCTTGGTATTGTCCTTGAGATATAAATTAGATATTATCATTTTTAGTTATTTCTAAAGTAGCTCGATAAAATTTTACAAAAATATGTTACTAGTTTATTATTTTCAATACTACATTAAGATTTTAAAAGTATATACTTTGCTAATGTACAATGGGGTTTTTGAATTTTATCCGAATAATTGGCAATGTTCATACGTAAAATCCTTCAATGTTATCTAATACATATTTTCATGTGATCCGTCAGGTATAGATGTTTGCATTTATTCTGTATTTTCACGGTATAAATGTTTGTATATGTTCTGTATTTTCCATTGAGATTATTAGACAATTTGTATCAGTTTTCGATTGAGATGTTTAGACAATTTGTATCAGTTTTCGATTGAGATTATTGGACAATGTGTCTCTGTATTTGATTGACATTATTAGACAATGTGTCTCAGTATTCGATTGAGATTATTAGACAGTGTGTCTCGGTATTCGTTTGAGATTATTAGACCATGTGTCTCAATATTTGATTGAGATTATTAGACAATGGGTCTCAGTATTTGATTGAGATTATTAGACAATTTTTATCAGTTTTCGATTGAGATTTTTAGACAATGGGTCTCAGTATTTGATTGAGATTATTAGACAATGTGTCTCAGTATTTGATTGAGATTATTAGACAATGTGTCTTAGTATTCGATTGAGATTATTAGACAATGTGTCTCAATATTTGATTGAGATTATTAGACAATGGGTCTTAGTATTCGATTGAGATTATTAGACAGTGTGTCTCAGTATTCGATTGAGATTATTAGACAATGTGTCTCAATATTTGATTGAGATTATTAGACAATGGGTCTCAGTATTTGATTGAGATTATTAGACAATATGTCTCAGTATTTGATTGAGATTATTGGACAATGTGTCTCAGTATTTGATTGAGATTATTAGACAACGGGTCTCAGTATTTGATTGAGATTATTAGACAATGTGTCTCAGTATTCGATTGAGATTATTAGACAATGTGTCTCAATATTTGTTCGTTTTCTTTGCCATATATAATTTATTATTTGTTGGTTCTACCCCGCAGATGTGTACTTCAACGCAGCTTTCAAATAATTCCACTCAAAACGGTGCTCGGCGCCGTTTTGAACTAGCAATGAGATACGAAATATGGCTCCATGTTGAAGACCTCACTGTAACTTAAAAATGAAGAACCGCAGTACAAGCATTGTTCCTTTACTTTTGCTTTCTTATGAGCACGTAGTTATTTTGTGTTATGAATTCACATACCATAATATCATTTCTTCTTCTTCAATATTTCAATTGCAATAAGTTTTATCAATTTTAGATATTGATACCGTGAAGAAACAAATTAAGGGAAAACTTGCCAAACCTCTTTCATAAAACATGACAGCTTTCATGCAAGAGAAGAGATATTGTGCTGATAAATAACTGTATAATACAAAGTTATATATCACATATAAGTTTTGTTTTTGGTCGATTTAATTTTGATCTATTATGATCAATTTTATTAAAATTTGCCTCCTGCGTTCTAAACTCGCTTTGCACATATTACATATGACTTTTGTTTTTGATCTACTTTTAATCTAATTACAGCTACACGACTTATAACAAATTTCATGTAAATGATAGTTTTCAGTTCAGTTTACAAAATACCTAAGACTTATTGTACTGAAATTTGGTGTTTATTTGTAAAATGAAGAATTATCGATACATTTATATAATTATATAACAATTCTTTTCATATTGAGACACTTTTTGACAATGTTAAAATCCTCCACCTTAAAAGTTAAATGCTTCTTATTCAGCCTCTACCGTAAATATGTAGCCATTCCTGGTAAATAATTTAATGATAAGACGGTTCCAATGCAAATATGGGTATATACCTTAAGGCTGACATGTTCTAATTATAGTTAAGTGTTTTTATATAGAGAGAACCCCCATTATATCCTAAAAGAATTTCTGTATCTGTTTGGAGTAAATTGCATGTTACAGTGTACATTTTTTTCATTAATATAAACTATTGGTACAATGCCTCCCCCTTAAAAACCAGATTTAATCATGAAAGGTTTTATTTCAATGAACAAGTTTTTGAATAGTTATTCTTGGTTTATACGCTCTACAGCAAATAAATCAGGCTTAGTACGGCAAACCTCTGCTAAAACAAATTCTGACGGGTGTTTTATAAACATTTGACGAATCCTTCTTTTAATTACTTTTTTAACATTAACAACTTCTATAATTAGTTACCTTGTTTTTCTGGAAAACTAACAATTTCTGAAGTTTCTGGGTAGGTGTATTTCTGTTGAATATATTGTGAATCCCTCGGTTTGGCATTTGTTTCTTGTGCTACTTTTCTGTTTGGTTCTATTCCTAACCTGTCTTTTATTCGCTTCAGCAAAATGTCTAGTCGTCTTTTCTCAGCTATACTAATATCAAGAATTCTTTTACAATTTGCACAACTGTTATTTCTGGCGCTCTGTATTCTGCTTTGGAGATCTAAACTGAACTGAGAACTTACTCCTGAACATAGATATATCAAACAAGTAATGATCAAAATGTAGTCCGGTAGATTGTTAAACGCCTTTTTACACCATGCACACAATTTACACATGGTATCCTGAAATAAAAAGCACATAATTACAATATTATATGGATTATGATTGTTAGAAATATGCCACATGTTACTTTGCTTCTAGGTATTTTTCAGTTTGCAATTAAAAGTGTAAACCCAAATAAATCATTCAGTTTTTAACATTACAATATATATAGATCTACAGAGCACCCAGTCTAAATTAATTTATCAAATATCTGCCATCTAATTCCTCAAATTACAAAAATGGAATGAAGATAAGACATTAACACAGGTTCCTGACTTGTGGCAGGTACTATTCACGGGGCTACAACATTTTTTTTTTAAAAAATTTGAAGATCATAATCCTTCCAAGTTTCTTCTTCGATCAGTGAATTAACAAAAGGTACAAAAGAATATTTAATTAAAATCTTTAAAAGAAAAACATTCAACTCTTTAATAACGGCTTTAAAAATAACAAAAATAAAAGACATACATAACAATTAGAAACAATATCGTATCAAAGAAAACTCGTAGTTACTGAAATTAAGTTCAACCTACTTAATCCTACACTCTAATATCGGTGGCAATACTTCATAGTAGATTTTATATAGTAATATCATAAACGGTACAGGAAAACAAGACCTTGTGCAATGATCACAACCTATTCAAGTTTTCAATGCAAGAAAACCCAACAATCACATCAGTTTATAAATTAGAGAGTTAACGTAAAATCCCAAAATACCAGCTCGTTAGGGAAAAAAATGAGCCATGAAACAGAAACAGTAAAATGAGCACAAGGTAACCAACATCAGAGGTCGCTATTAGCCCTCACCTCATATAATGTACATATATAGTACTGTCAATATCAACAAATATACATTAATAGCAAGTAAAATGCGACAGAGTCATCTGATACCCTGTTGTTAAAACGATATTTACAAATATGATTTACTGTTACACCACTATTATTCATGATACATTGTATATCGTTTGCTTAACAAAGGATTTAACACTGAATGTGATATTAAACTATGTCATTTTATAGAAAAACCTTGCAAAAACTGTTATATCTTCCGACTAAAAGTTTTTAATTACTGATACTAAGTAATTTGGAATTAAACGTCATTTTGGTGCAGAAAGTTAAGCAAGTTTTTCTGAATTTTTTGTCAATGTCGACGAAAAAAGGGTAAACATCGTTGTTGAGAAAAAAAGTAATAACGTATTATATTTTGCCAGACTAAGGAGTCGGGGATTATGCCAGACAAAGGACAAAGTTTAAAATAGAGAAGTGCATACTAATTCCGATCGGATTGAGACTAAAGTGGTTGATATAAATAAGAACTAAAGAAACCTAACGAATCTATGATAAATCTTCAAAGATTTAAAGTTGTTAGACATCATAACTTACCCCCTGTTGTCCAAGCGGAAAAGGTGCAAAATAATAAATATTTCGAGTCTGAAAATAGCAAAAACTGAAATTTGTTTGGAGGTAAAAGTTTGATATTGTCTTTAAAATATAAATTAAATCATGTTGGTTACATTAAAGTCCTTCCATGACTTTTTTTCAAATATATGTTATGCATATATGTTATATATACATATTTGTTATATATACAAGAAATCTACCCGGAAATTTGTGTTTAATTATAGCCAAGTCTGTAAAGATGTAAATATCAGTGAAAATACACCTACGTCATGTAATTGTAGTAATTCCGAATACACTTATGGCCCCATTTCCCATGTAATAACAGGAGACCTTAACATCGTTCGCGACCGAGAGTTAAAACAATTCCTCAGTAAAGGACCTAAATATCGTCCCCCGTCAATTATTGATTGGAATGAGTGTCGTAATATCATCAACGACTCACTTCGTGCTTACTGTTTGAAATGGATAAAACGGGAAAAAACTGACAAAAAAATCTTTGGACTCTTTTTTTAATTCAGTAATGAAGATAGTTGATATACGTATACAACATTTTAAAGAACATTTTACTCTTAACAACAACCATAAAAATCCTATTTCTCGTATCAAACATAAACTGAAAGAACAAGCCAAGGAATTTGTTTTTGTCCCGGCTGATAAAGCTGCTAATAATATCATTATAGTTTGACGTAAATTTTACATTGAGGTTCTGCAAAAGGAAATCACCAATTCACCAACATTTCAAACTGACTTCATTTTCAGAAAACGATATCTGTAACAAACATAAACTATTAGCTACTTCTTTACAAGCAGAACCAAATACAATGAAAGTCCCAACTATGTACTGGCTTCCGAAGCTACACAAATCACCTTACAAATATAGATTTATTTTGTCTTCAAGTCATTATTCTACTACTAAATTTTGTCTATTCTACTTACTAGTACACTTGGTACAATCAAAAACCTGATAATAAATTGTTCAAATAAGGCCTTTGAAAATAGTGGAATTAATTACTTTTGGAGTGTCAAAAACTCGTTGGAAGTACTTGATAAATTGCATGCATATATTAGTGATTTTGAATCTGTTCAAAGTTTTGATTTTTCTACCCTATATACCACTTTGCCTCATATTCTTATTAAGAAAAAATTCACACACCTAATTAACTGGGCATTTAAAAAGTCGGAATGCGAATACATATGTTCAAACTCTTTTAGGTCATTTTTTAGTAGCAACAAACAAAAGAACTATGTCAATTGGACATGCTTTGATACGATATCTGCCCTTGAATTTTTACTTGATTTCATTTTTGTTCGCTTTGGAGATTCCGTATATCGTCAAGTTATCGGAATTCCAATGGGGACTAACTGTACACCACTTATTGCGGACCTGTTTTTGTATTGTTATGAGTTGCAATTTATGACTAAAATCAGCAAAGACCCATCGAAACAACATCTGATACAAAAATTTAACAATACTTTTAGATATTTGGATGATATATTGGCTCTCAATAATGACGACTTCAGTATGTATACTAAAGAAATTTATCCTGTTGAACTTACTTTAAATAAAGCTAATACTAACAATGACCACTGTCCTTTCCTCGATCTTGATATCTATATCATTAACGGGAAGCTTAATACAAAAATTTATGATAAAAGAGATGATTTTTCATTTCCTATCGTTAATTATCCATTTTTAGATGGTGACGTTCCCTTGTCACCATCATATGGTGTTTATATATCTCAACTTGTACGATTCGCTCGTGTATGTAACAACGTATTAGATTTTAGCGAGAGAAATTTATTTATTACTGAAAAATTATTACATCAGGGTTTTCGATATCATAAACTAGTCAAAACATTTACTAAATTTTATCATCGGTATATGGACATCATTCGTAAATATAACTCAACATGCAGACATCTTATTCGTTCGGGTATTTCACATCCAATCTTTTATGGTAATATTCTTTACAAAGCACAAAAATGTCAGTATTCACCTCAAAAGCTAACAAAACCTTTAAACAGACTTATTAAGAGGGGATATAGTTACGATACTGTTGTCAAGTTATTAAAGATTGCATATTTTGGCTTTAATATTGATTCACTTATAGGGTCTTTGCATCGAAATTAAACACATTTGTTTTAAAACCAGTTGTTGGCATGACACGGGTTGTGTTCTTCTCATATATTTTATGACGGTATAATACTAAACCCCTAACAGGAGGGATTGTGCCTGATATTCATATGATGAAGACATAATCTTTCAATCAGTTTAATTGAGGGTTGGAGCTGGCATGTCAGTAACTGCTAGTAGTCTGGAGTTTAGTATGACGTCCATTATCACTGAACTAGTATACATATTTGTTTAGGGGCCAGCTGAAGGACGCCTCCGGGTGCGGGAGTTTCTCGCTGCATTGCAGACCCATTGGTGGCCTTCGGCTGTTGTCTGCTCTATGGTCGGGTTGTTGTCTCTTTGACACATTCCCCATTTCCATTCTCAATTTTATACAATTTTCAATATATACTGTATCAAAATTCCAAAGTATATATTTTTGTGTATATATAGTTTGTTTACTGAAATGTGCTTGCAGTTCACCCGAATTATTGGTCCTATTCAGAACGTGAATGAGAAGAGTATTAATGTAACGAATTTATGTCAAATCTTGCAACACTTATCTTCAAAGACTAAATGTTGTCACACATCCTATCTGATTCTCCTGATAAATATGTTGCCACAGCGGAAAAGGCCCAAAATAATATAGTTTGAATGTGTAAATTTACATTATACAAACTGATTGTTAAAATAATTAGGCGTTACAAATTTATTTGGAAACCCAACAGGTACCCCAACAACACTTAGTAACCAACGAATCTTTGAAAATCGTTACTCTGTTCTAGGTTTATTTTTAAGTTATCAACCGCAGACGAATATCTAGATACCAGAAACCAAAATTATGTTATGTCTCTACAACCAACGTTAATAGTACCGGGTCTACCAAATTCTCCAAGATGCCCCTTTCTACATCTAATATCTATTTTATCGGATATCAAAATGGATTTCAGAGTTACTTTAAAACTACTTTTTTCCAAGGAGCGTATTCATTTTACAAATTTTAAAGATTTGTAAGAAAGAAAGAAATGAGGAATCTTATTTTCGGAAGGGACAAGGAATGAATCATTAAATAATATTTGGTAATAAAACATACTTCTTACCAAAAAAAATCAGAAACTAGTATCAGGGTGATCAATCATAAAAAACAGCTAGTTTTATCCTTAAATAAAGATACTGTCCTTCCAATGAATAATTCAATGATTGGAGGCCCTTTCAATGTTTTATTTTTTCATACTTTGTATGACTTTCACAGTCAATATTTTTTTATATTAAATCAATTTCAAAAGTTTCTTTGGCTATTTTAAACTAATTATCTGTGTTGAACCGAAAGTAAAAATAAGTCCGATTGTTTTATGTTTTTTTTTTTTCTCTCTATTGTGAAATAAACTAAGCCAGGACTATCCAATAGTCTTACATGTTTACCCTATATTGCTTTAGGATAACAGTGAACGCATCGTTTAGTAAATTATCTTTTATGATACTTCTTCCAACAAATTTGCTTGATAT